ATTTAAACACAGTTTATGGCAACTTAAGCAGCAGCAAAGGACGTGAGGCTGGGCTGTAAGCAGAACCAGCCGGGGAAGACAAGCAAGGTGAAGGGAGATGTGGCGAGCTACCGCCCCGAGGTCAGCCAAAACGATGGGGATGCAGCACCTCCAAACCCTGGAATAAGGCAGGAACGCACACCGGGCTGCAGATCATCTGTCAGTTCAGGGAGAAGACTAAATCTTGCTGCTAGGCTTAAGAATGGCCACTTTAGCTTAGAACAAAACCACGTATCACCTTGAACCTAAACCAGAGCGTACGCTCCCCAAGCATACACAGGGGCTGCTTTAAAAACACAAACGCAGCTATACTGGTAGGAAATCCTCTGTCTTATAGTACCCTCCCAGGTCTATCAAGGTGTCCCTTGGATTTCCCGTGTTTCGTCGCTCGCCAAGGTTAGCAAAACCACAAGCAAGTCAAAAAAGTCTGCAAACTTGCTTACAAAAAGCAGAAAGCTGCTTGGAAAAGTCTGGTTTCCCAGCTGCAAGAAACAGCGCCGCGCACACGGACACTCCAGCCCCGAAATCTAATGCAATAGGCAGCAAAGCTAAATGCTGCAAATTTTAGTTCCCCACAGATAATATGAAAGCCTTACAGTCAGCAAGAAGAACGGCAGCCTTCTAGCTTGTGGCAAGCAGAAAGTGGGATTGAATCATTACTTGAAGAACGTGTCTCAACGTCTATAAATAAAAACCTGCGAGGCACATTGCCAAAGAAGCACAAGTCAATATAGCTTTTCTATATGCGCTGTCAAACTTTACTTTTAGACAGTATATTAATTACATAGTCAATAATTGTGGATTTCATTAGTGTATTAAATACCTCAATCAATAATATTTATCCTTCTCAGAGACAGTCTTCATCAAAAAAAAAGGGAGGAGTATTTTTTGATCCTGCAGTTCAAAAAGTCAGTGCAGCATACCGGCAAGGCTTTAATGGAAAACATAAAACACTAGAAACAGACAAAAATCAGATTATTACTCTTATTTTTCAGCCTTTTGTACAATAAGCCATGAGGGAATTCCAAGAGCTAAACTGATGGCAAAAAAATTAGATTTCTTTCTCTTAATTGCTCAACGGTGATGTCAGAGTGGACATGACAAATGTTCACATCTTTCATTTCTACATCAGATAAACCAGCAACCCAGCTCCGCTCAGCCAACTTTCCGAGGATAAATTCTCAGGGCGAAGAACCCATTTCTGGTGCATCCCCGCATGGTCGCCTACGGCAGTGCAGCCTTCGAGGTGCCTTTATCATAACCCGGACCATCCCTGGAAAATACATCCCTATGAGAAGTAACAGACTCGTGTGGGACCTTCACTGAGCTCAGCCAGGCTGAGCCCAAAGAAAATCCCATCAGGCAACAGAAAAAGGAGTTCAGGAGGATTTTTCTTCTTTTAAAATCTCCCTTTAAAAGGGCAAGAGGTTTGGGACAAATTAAAAAAAAGCATTTCCAAGTGTCCAGTTTATTTTAAATAACTTGCAAGAACAGTTATATACAAGGATGGAAAAAGTACTACGAGGAGCCTAAAAACACTCCTAAAGGCACGCTTTTGGCATGGCAGAGAGGCTGAATTTCACAACAAATCAATGCACTATAAACAGGAAAAAGCTAAAAACAAACAACACCCCACCCCCCAAAACACAGACACCTAAGTATTCAAATAAAATACACAGAAAAATGCGTAACAGTCCTCATGAAAAATCCATCTGGCGATTCAAACCACCTTTTTTTAAAAAAAAAATGCATATGAATGAAATGTAAAAATGTAAACATGAATGGCCCACGTAAACATGAAAAACAGACTAAAAAACTGAGGCCCGTTACTCCCTGTAATAAGATTACTGATATTTACTGCACTACTCCAATATTTGTAACACATAATATGCTGCAGACCACTCCCTTCCCCGAACACAGGCTTCGGAAGCAGGCAGCCTGCTCCATTTCATGTTTTCGTAAGCCTTTTGTAAAAAAGTGATACGAAATTTCTCTTTCTTTCCCATCTGAGTCACCTAAGCAGCCCTACAGCTGCCGGAGAGGCAAGTCCTCATCCAGCGAGGCCGGCCATGGTGAGGAAGCAGCCCTGTGGGGTGGCTGCTCTTCTCCAACGCAGCTAATTCGAGGGCTAGAAAAAAAGAAGGCAAAAGGAAGGAAAGATGACGAAACAGGACACGGAAGGAAAGTACGTCTTCCTCCCCCCCTCAAGATGTTATGCTGCATCTCGGGCAGCAAATGCAAATATCACCAAGAATCAAAACATCAGACTCATCAACTTCCACTCTCACACCCGTTGCACTAAAAGGACAATCCCATCGTGCTGGAACACGGAAGCCCACACACACACTCATCCAAGCTGCCAGGCATAGCACACACAGCGTAAGGCAACTAGCCACCAAACACACGCGGAGCAGTCGCTTCTGATCCGTGCAAGACCACCATTTATTTTTTACTACAGCTCTTAGAATATATTCCTCCTCAAAGCTTTATTTTGGGGGGGGGACGGGACGGGGATGGGACACACAGACGGGACAGGACACACGACCAAACCACCTGATGCATCTTAAAAACCAGATCTGACTGAAATAGAACCTCCCCTCCAGAGACTCGTAAGGGTCACTAACAACTAATTTAAAATTCACGTACAGTGAAAACATAGTTAAATCGTAACAGTGGGAATTAACACAAACAGCAAACTACCTGAATGCGGCACGTCAAAGCATGCTCCAGATCTTCCCTCGGCCATGAACCTGATGTTCTCATGTAATTGTCCTTGCACCTGCCTGTTCAAAACCAGCAGCCTCCCAATTTCATCTTCGCTTTGTACATTTAATTTAAAGCAAAACATTAGCAGCCACAGGCATCTTCACCTCACAGAGATCTAGTTACGAAGTATTCCAGCATCCTTTCAATTGAGCAAATACATATTCAGCCCAGATAATGGTTGAAGCCATCCAGCAATAAACTGGACACTTGCCGGGGGAGATTGATGATGAAGGGAATGAAGACACAGGCTTGTTTGCCAATAATCCCAATTAGCATTGTGAGTCCACTGACTTCTCCTTCATTAGCACAGCCAAAAGAGCCCAGAGCCTTCTGAAGAGTCCCGTTTTCCACGGCCCGTGTCAGTACCTACGGTGATCTACCCGGGTTTGGATGGCCGTGGCCACCCGGCAATGAGGTGGGAGGAGAGAATGGAGACACCTCCATAGCTTCCCTGCCCTCGCTCCTCGGCTAGACGGCTGCTTCAGAACCTCACTTTCTTTTGATCGACAAGCTATTTATTAACCAATTACCTTCAACAGTTCTAGTCTATGATCAGGGGAAGGAAGCAAGATATATAGATATATGCATATATTTTTTTATATGTGGAAAATCATATCCCCCTTCTCAGGATTCATTTTGCTAAATTAGCTTTTCTAGGCCCCTCCGAAAAAAGATTTTCATTCTCCTACTCAGCAGTGTAGTCCTCCTCTGTACTCGCCCCAGCTGAGATTCTTTTTTGCCTCTATACGTAGCAGACCAGAACTGTACATAGCATTTGAGATGAGATCGCACAGCAGAGGCTTATATAATCCTATGGTACTTGTATAGCTATACTAGAAATACCTTGCCTTACATAGCTTGATGTTTTTCATATACTAGCTGATTAAAGCATGATTAAAACCCTCCAACTCTTCAGTCACTAATGAGCATCCACTTTAGAGTGGGGTTGGGTTTTTTTTATTAGTCCTCAAATAAATTACTTTTCACACAAACTGTTTTAAGTTGATTTTCTGTTCCAGTTCTCAAGGTCATTCAGCTGATCCTGTAAGATACCTTAATACCCTTGAGTATTGATACCTTCCTTCTCTAGTGCTCTGGATGATGGCATAGTAAACCCAGCGATACAGATGCACAGCAATTCCCTCTGGGAGAATGAGCTGCCCCCACAGAGGCAGATGTGCAACATCATCTCATAAAGCTGCAGTGACAGCAAATACGCGCTAACACAACTGCCCATAAAAACTTCCTAGTGTATATGGGCCTCAGAATTGGAAATAGCCTCAAGGAACATTTTGCATTACCACTTGCTAACAGTCCCCTCTAACTGGGAAGGAGGGACAGGAAGGGAGGAGCGGAACTAAAAGACTGGTTAGCAGAGTGGAAAGATAATCACCGCTAACCTACCATTTGTCAACCCGGAACCGTGCTGAAGACTGTAATTTTATAGTCAATACCTTATAAGCAAGGTCAGAGGGAACAAATACTTCAATAAAAAAATTCAAAACATCAGCAGAAGAACTCAGTCATGATCCTCAGAATCCAAAATAGAGGAAGGGATTGTTTGTGCAATTAATGGGCCCAGAATAACGTCCTTCACGTCCATCAATGGAAATGGCATTTACAGTTCTTAAACATAAAGACTTAAGATGACAAACAGGAAATTATGGGAAATAAAGGGCACCAACTGAATACATGATGAAACAGTGCTCCATGGAGCAAAATAAATAAATAAATTCCAGTTTTGCTACCAGAGACCCACTTCAGTATTGCTTGGATGCTTGGAGCTGTGCAGCAAATGCCAAGCTGTGAGCTGCAGCCAGGGAACACATAATTAATGTGATTAGGAGCACACAGAGCTAGCATGCTCTGCTGACTGAAAAGCCCAGTAGCATAATTACTGTTTTCTGTACTAGCTCTATGTCTGAACAAATCTCAAAGCCTGGTTAGTTTTAGACTGCTGTGTAAACGTCAATAAAAATCCCAGAAGTGCCAGCTCATCAGCATTCTCAGGCACAGAAATGGTGAACATACCACTGCATTTCCATGCTGTTAACATCAGGCAAAGTCGTCTCCATTCTTCAGTCTAACCTTAGAGTTTGTAGTAACTCCCCCAAGTGAATGCTTATTATGAAAGCTAATTAATTGCTTTCCAGTAATGAGAACTCTTTGGCGTTCAAAGAAAGCAAAATTCACTACACAGGAATTAAACAGTGTTTATTGAAACAAAGCTCCCCCTGTTTAAAGACCCGTTTCTGATTAACATCATTACAAATAAAACCAAAGAAACTGAACATACAAACATACAAAATATGTATAGGCAGGAAATGTGTGCTAAAATCAGTCAAAACTCCATAGTATTAATTGAAGAGAAAACTAAAGCAATGCTTTGTAGTTGCCTATATTTCCCTGGGGGATGGAGAGTCAATGCTTATCTGCCTTCCTCAGAAGAGACAATTTTGATTAATATCAGACCCATCTGACTCAGTCTATTAAACCCTGAAGGAAGGATATTCTTCAGATATAAAAGATATGTCTTTGATTAATAATTCTACCACATTGCCATTCCAAGCATTAACAACTGCATGGCACCTGTGGAAAGAGAAAGCCTTTGAATTCTATGGAAAGGAACTAACTTGCGCTAATAGAGCTGTTGTTCTTCGTCCATATCTGAAATCCGTACGACACTCTTCCTCCCACCCTCTGCTGAACAAGTCAAAGTGTCAAGGTTGTCACTACTTTCTTGCAAAGACAATAGTGGTTATATGTAAAGCTGAATTATATAGTAAGAAAGCAAAGTTATTTCAGACATTCTGAATGGTTTGTCTAAAGACCCTGGCAATCTGTCTAGAGATTCCTCTTTAGAGCTGTCACAGCTTAATACACCACAACAGTCTGCAGTGTCGTGGCCATTAGAGCGCACTCTTACCTACCAGGGGCGTATCTTCAGAGAAATGCATTAAATCACTTAGCCCACTACACTGGACTACCATGCACGGTGTTAGCTAATGCCGAATTGTCACACACGAGGTGGGGAAAAAGTCAATGTAATATCATCCGTTGAGTTCTTCCTGAAGTTCTAGCTTCAGTCAGCACCAGCCTCCTCACCCTAGTTGAGCATTTCTCCTGATGCTTGCGATCAACCTCTTGCTGTATTCTCTGTAGTTCACAGGTTTGACGTCCACTGCTGTAGCCTTAATACGAGATTCATCCTGTGAAAGAGAAATACGGCATGTAAAAGAAGAACGCTAAGCACTCCAGGCATTTCGTTCTAACCTCCTTCTGCCCCAGTAACTTACTGCTCTTGGTACCAGGGTTAGCTGGGAGTGCAAAGTGGACTCCCAGAGCAGCTATGTTGTTTTCATTTGAAACAAGCCAGGCTTGATGAACCTGAGAGGGAGTAGTGTTAATGACAGTGGATCCCTCCTTCAGTGCTCACGACTGACTTGCTGTGAGCAAGTATCTTTGGAAACTTCTCCCCACAGACGTAAGTGGAGGAAGCCACCTCCTATGGAGACAAGTCAAACTACAAAAGCCACATGCTACATTATTTGCCTTTTGGGGGATACTTACATTGTAAGTCTCCAGTTTTACTCGGATCCTGAACTCATACGTGTTGAAGTTTGCATTTTGGAACACTTCTTCAAATGCCTGCTCATTCTGTGAGAAGGACAAAGACAGATATCAGCTGCAGACACTCCAGGCTCCCGGTAGTACCACAAACTTTCAGAACAGCTCATCTTTTCCTGATGTTGGCAAAACGGTGGAACTAACTGGATCATGTAGGCAGAGCTGAATCTTCCATCAAATTTTAGATGCCAAAACCGTGACTTAAAGTTTTTGAGAAAAAGTTTAGTTCAAGGTGAAAACTTTTTAGCTACCTAAACAAAATAACGTACAGTTGCACTGAAACTGCAACTAAGTGTACAGAATGAAAATACTATAAATCAACATGAGATTCTCTCATGCTGCTTAAGGGGCTAATTCTGATGTTCTGCTATGATTACAAACTCTGACAGAGTTAACTATTTCCCTATTAATTGTCTTATTAGACAGTCTGTTTCTCTGCTTATCCATCAAGGCTGTATGTATCCTTCACATCCTGACACAGACCTATTTAAGAGGATGTTCTATAAAAAAGCGGATGCGTGTTTTGAACATGCTTTATAACCATTAGAAGACTCTGTCATATTTATAACATAAGCTGCTTCTAATTACCATATGAACACTAAACATCATCATCATCATCATCTATAACAGACAATTTGTCAAAACAGTAGAAAAGCAGCAGACAAGTTGTGGAGGCTGTGGAAAAAGTTTATTTTTGTAAAAATTAGTTGTGAAAACCTTTTCTGACATTCCACAAAAATCCTGCAGCCCCATGATGATACAGACAAGTAATTATTAGTGCATTTATCTACCAGATGCACTTGACTCGATCAGTCACTCCAGCAGCCGACAGAGCATCTGATCTGGAATTGAACCCACCTCAGTTTCACTCATATTCCAAGTGTTACATCTGCTGTTTTTAAATGCGTGCAGCACTATTTCACACTACACAGCGATTCTGCTAAGGTTTAGAAAAGCACAACAAATGAAGGTGAACAGGAGCAGCTAGTTTCACAGACTGAAAAATTTAGGCATATCCTTCCTGAATATTAAAAACCCCTTCTTCTGACCATCGTATGGATTAGAGGATGAGAAAACTCACTTAATAAAGCATTTGGCTTCTGTTTCGAGCTCTGCCACAAACTATGCTAACCATTAGTGAGTGGAAAATGCCGTTAGCATACCAGTCACTGCTACCCTACATTACCTCCTTTGGTAACAAGCACAGTGGAGAAGTAGATGAAAAACTGTGCATGCATATCTATGCTTAGCATGGTCACTGGCTGTACGTGGACTCAATACATACTGTGAGCAGTGGAAAAACTCCCACCAACTTCACAGGATACTGCATCAGGTCTTCAGAGAAAAACCACTAAGAAAAGCTTACTGAAAATGCATCAAGTACCATTTTTAAAGGCTCATAAAAGTGTCAAATCAAAAACAATTTCTCCTGGCACACAAAGCATTCCCACTCAAGGGCTCATTCCATATTATGTTCCATTTTCTATCCTCAGCCATTTCCATTAGGCAGCTCTTCAAAAGACATTACATGTTTGTACTGTTACATAGGATCTGCTGTCTCTCCTTCCCCACCCAGTTCTCTTCAGCATTAAAAGTGACTAAGAAATTTTGTTTGAACTCTAGCAGAGATTAAGCACAACCAAAGTAAGAAAATATTGACAAGTTCAGAATGTCTGAAAATGGAAGTGTAAAAGTGCAAGCACATCTAATTAGAATGCCCAAGCAATACATCTTCCTACAGAACAGAGCTGTCCAGCCTTCATAATACCACAAAGACTTCTAGCATCCCAGAAGCACAAGCTTTGTACCACTTATCTTAGAAAGCCGAGTGCAGGAAATTTCCAAAAATCATAGAATCATGGAATAGTTTGGGTTGGAAGGGACCTCTAAAGCTCATCTTGTCCAACCCCCCTGCTGTGGGCAGGGACATCTTCAACTAGATCAGGTTGCTCACAGCCCCATCCAGCCTGACCTCAAATGTTTCCAGGGATGGGGCATCCACCACCTCTCTGGGCAACCTGTGCCAGGGTTTCACCACCCTCAGCGTAAAAAATTTCTTCCTTATAT